CTGTGATAGAATGTAACAGACAGTTAGTTTTTAATGGAGTGTTATCATAAAAAATGCCACCTGATGCTGTTTAAGTGCAGTTACTATAGCAATATTAAAAAGGCGCAGCACTGAAATAAGCTTGACTATAAAAGGATAAATCATAAGACTGATAGAGAATAACTCTAAACTCTCAGTTAGTGGCTGCAGCTAATACTGAAGCAACATTAAAAATGGGCAAGGCAAAGGATAAGGTAAAGCTATTTTAAAGATTGTCATTGTTCTATATTTGCTACATTAGGGAATTTACATACTAGCAGAATCAGCTAGATCAGAAGCATTAAAAGCTCTAATAGTTCCCTTTGATATCCTGTACTCCATCATTGCAATTGGTAAAATGCGAGATGGAAGAAATTTTAGTACAAAAGATCAAGATATAACATTAGGTTGCTTAGTAGGAGCATATGGATTAGTTAGCCTTGCTTTTTGTGCAATCAATGCCTTAGGATACTTCCGTAAAGCTCGTAAAAATGATAATTGTTCGACACAATGTAAAAAAATAGTTATTTTCATATTAGACCTTGCTGTCGTGATATTTACTAATGGCGTATACTTATGGGGAGATAGCAGGGCAGAGGTCAGTACTGACAGTATAGCGGAGGTAAGAGATCTTACAGCACAATCCCTTCTTTTCCTCATTCCTGCAATACTATCCTTTCACGTTTGGGAGCCATTAAAAACATTGTTTGCAATCATTTTTAAAGGTTGTGAAAACAATTGTAAATGTTGTGAAAAGAAAGATGATTCAGAAGAAGATAGCAATGATGATTTGGAAAAAGAGTTAAACTTAAATTATCAGAAAGCAATTCTCTATGCAACAATGATGACACTGAGTACTGTCCCAGAGACTGATGCTACATATACTACACTAGCCAATCTGGTTAGACTCACAAAAGATAATTGTCGTCCAAGGAAATACAACATCCTTTGGGGAATGTATGGAGCAATTATATTCAGTATTATAGTGAAATGTATAAGTGTATTTTTAAAGGCATTGAGTAAATTTCCTAACAAAAATAAAACTGATTGGAAATCAAATCGATGTCTCATTGGTTGGATTGCTTATGCTGTTGTTACATCAGTGTTTGCAGTTATAAGCACTGGGTTCTTCTTTGTCGTTGATAATGAGCTACCATTAGATTGCTCACCACACTTCCGCTTGAATAGCACGTACAGGAGACTTGAAACAAAAAACTACAACTTCAGACTAGGGTTTTTAGTAACTTCTTGGGTACTTTCAGTTGCAATATTAGTCATTGGAGGAATATGTTGGGGAAATTTTCTCTGTCTATATTGCAAAAAATCAATAAAAAAAGCTGAAGAAAAAAGCAATCCAGTTTAAACCTGAACCTATTTGAACATTAATACTACTTTTACATGCCCATGAATTAAGTGTAAAAACTATTTTTAAACAGTTTGGTAGCTACATTTAGTTAATTATTTTCGTTTTGTGTTGAATAAAATTAACTTAGAATATGTAATTATTATCTCAGCTTTGAGCTAATCTCCTTTGCTTCCAACTGATCTAATACAACAATAAAGAACACCTGCCAGTCCTATCATAGAGAAGCCACTACCAGTATCAATTATAGTGGTTGACATAAAAGTAGTAGAGGCTGGGAAAGTGGTTGGGATTAGATAAAGTAGGCAGTCTTTGTGGAGTATCAGAAGACTCTGGTAGGTGTTGCTTCACTCCCAAGTCAGTGTAGCTACTACTGTGGTAAAGGGGTGGAATAGTTAGTAATAACTAACTATAATTTGCTCTTAATAGACTTGCTTATTTGGGGCTAATAGCAATAGTCAAAATGGGCAAAGGAAAGGATAAAAAGGTAATGAAAATAAAAGCATTCTTATAATGAATGTCATCTACTTATTAGGGATTCTATTTGGTAGCAGGTTCTGCTAGATCAGAAGCAGCAAAGGCTCTAATAGTTCCATTTGATATTCTATACTCCATCATTGCCACTGGAGCAATGCTAAATGGAAAAGATTTTAGCAGAGAAAACCAGAGTGCTATACACTAACATGCTTGGGGCTAGTATATGTAGTGACCAGTGTTGAAGCAAACAATGAAGCAAATAATGGAGTGAATAATGGAGAAATAATTCCAACTACTCGTATAAATGGACCATGCAAAAGGATAAAAACAGAAGGAGGTACAACATGGAGCAACAACCAAAGAACAATCTGTGGGACAATAATAACAATAACCGGAGGAAAACAAGGTAATACAAGAGGAGGAACAACAATTATTGAAGAAGGAAATATTACTACAGAAGGTGGAGAACTAATCTTTAATAATGGAAAAGTAAGTAATAAAGAAGGAAGGTTTTTCAACATAGGAGGAGAGGAAATACTTTACCAAAAACCTAATGAAGACAATGAAGAACCTATTGATGAAGAATGACAATGAAGAACTTGGTGATGAAGAACCTGGCGATGTATACATTGTAATAAAAGGAGGAATAACAACCATCACTGGGGGAACAACAACTTTCACTGCAGACAGTGCAACAGTTATGGGGGGAGAAGTAATGCCACAAAATAATCCTAATCAAAATGAAGAGTATGAAGGAACATCTTTGGAAAAAGACCCCAGGCTTATAAAGAAAGAAATTATTAAAGTAGCAGTGGCCAATTGGTTTTGTATTGGATTGTTTTTGATTGCTGATAATAGTCAACCTTTTGACTGTGTGGTTGAAGAAAACATCAATTTCAACTATGCATTACGAATAATCTTTTTATTCATTTCTTTAATTCTATATTGTTTATCAATCTTGAAAGTAACTCAACTTTGGTACCAATCTCGTGATCCTACTCCAGTAGACCGTGATCCTACTTCAGTAGACCGCGATCCTAGTCCAATAGACCATGATCCGACAATAGACCGTGATCCTACTCCAATAGACCATGAGCCTAGTCCAGTAGACCATGATCCTACTCCAATAGACCGTGACACTACTACAGGAGGCACGGCTCATACTCACACTCTTCCAAGAGACCAAACATCACCTGAGTCTCGTTGTACTTCAGTAGTTGTTTGAAGAAATACCATGGTATTCACACTTTACATATATGAGTAAAATTTAACAATTTAGCTAAAACTAATAGTATTCCTAATAATAGTATTTATACCATTAGTTAAATATTTTAAAAGGTGTGACACACTAACAATTAATGACAATTAACAGTTGTAATAATTAATTATGAGTTTTAATAAATAACACTTGATTTAAAACAACTAGATATAGCAAATTTTTTTGCCAAGTCGTATCCTTGCAAGCAATTTAAATCCTTGCAAAATTAATTATGCAAGTAGTGCCAAGTACTTGGAAAATTTTCTCTAAAATTTTTTACAGAAGCAGCTTACAACACAAATATTTAAGTGAGGAATTCTCACCTACTTGCCAATATTCAAATGTTACAATAAAATTCCTGGAACAACATGTACATGCATCAAAATTAACATAATCCATAAATTATGAATATTAAGTACAAATGATAATGTTGTGACATAAGCTATTATCAGTATAGACCAACCATCATTGAGATACAACCCTCAGACACTAAGCAACAGATTACTAAACCCACCATATACTAGGTAACAGATAATAGCACAAAAAGTGACTAGAATTAACATTGTCATAAATATAACCAAGTGTGCCTATGTATAGGGCACAACATATGCATTATATGTACATATTTAGCATTACTTTTAGCATTTAGTATTAGTGCTAACCATACATAGTTTTTAAAACTTTTCAGATGTTTATTTTATCAGGGATATAATAGACTACCGTATACGGGATTGGTTACGGACCAAAAATCAATTTATAGGTCCGTTATAAATTTAAATTAATTATTCATAGTTTTGGTTTAATAACCCATTCTGCTCCGTACAATAGCCTTACTACACTGATGTGTAAAAGTTGTGTAAAAATAAAACAAAGACTAGAACAACAAAATAACCAGTAAATTCTCATACAACGATCATTGTACTATTATATTACAAAATAATACGAGAAAAGAGTCATGTCTGAATCCGCCACAGGTACACAAAACTGGCCTTTTAAAAAGTACTTTTCCGGCTGTATCATGAAGTAGGAAGGTCTAAATAAGTTCTTTTGGTCCTATTCTCATATAAACATAAAAGATGGTAAATCACAATACGATTGAATCTATATACTCCAAGCTATCTTGCCAGCAGAGGTACACAAATGGAAAATTGGCTGCATTTAGCAATTCATCGTGACAGCATCGTTAAGTATCATTCAAAATGAAAGTAGCAGATTCCTTATCCTTAGTAATGGTAGTATAATGTTTTGAGAGAGAGACACAAGCCTTGTTGACAGAGAAATAGCAACATTAGTGATTTGATAAAACAGTTGGCCATCTTGAAAATGATAACAGAGGTTGTGAAAAGATTTTATACACAGATGATGCGCTCACATGGTCCCGTTGCCAATCCCGTATACGTTAGTCTATTATATCCCTGATTTTATGGAAATACTAAGACACTTTCATTTAAGAGGTCACATACTCTTAAGTGCACAAACACTAATAGCATAACTACAAGGTTTCAACCACACTATATAAGCTTATGATTCCTAGAACTATTAATATTGATTCACTTCTTATACATGTAAAAGTATATGAGGTAGGGGTCATTGGTAAGATAAAATGAGTGCCATCATAAAAATGTCACCTGATACTGTTCTTAGTACAGTTGTTATGGCAACATTAAGGAATGTTCCCAATGGTTAGAGTAGGGGTACACTCAAATAGCCTCGACTATAAAAGGGGTCGAATCATTAGACTGATAGGGAACACTCACAGTTGCTGCAGCTAATAATTATATTGAAGTAATATTCAAAATGAGCCAAGCAAAGGATGAAAAGGTAAAGCAGCTATACATAATGATTGTGATTTAAAAGTTCTATATTTGCTACATTAGGGAATTTACATACTAGCAGAATCAGCTAGATCAGAAGCAACAAAAGCTCTAATAGTTCCCTTTGATATTCTGTACTCCATCATTGCAATTGGTGCAATGCGGAATGGAAGAGATTTTAGTACATCAGACCAAAAAATTGTATTATTTGTCTTAGGAGCAGCATACGGAGTACTTAGCCTTGGTTTCTGTCTAATCAACAGTGGAGCATACTTACGTAACGCTTTTAAAAATGAAGATTGTTGGACACGATGTAAAAAAATAGTTATTTTCATATTAGACTTTATTGTTGTGGTCGCTACTAACATCATATACCTTGTGGGAGATAGCAAAGCAGAGGTCAGCACTGACAGTGCAGCGGAGGTAAGAGATCTGACAATACAAGGTCTTCTTTTTCTCATTCCTGCAATACTATCCTTTCATGTTTGGGAGCCATTAAAAACATTGCTTGCAATCATTTTTAAATGTTGTAAAAAGGAAGGTGATTCAGAAGAAGATAGCAACAAAAATTTGATAAAACAGTTAAAATTAGATTATTACAAAGCAATTCTCTATGCAACAGTGATGACACTCAGTACTGTCCCAGAGATTGATGCTACATATACCACATTATCTAACTTTGTGAGGCTCACAAAAGATAATTGCCGTCCAAGGAAATACAACATCCTGTGGATAATGTATGGTGCAATTATATTCAATATTATAGTGAAATGTATAAGTGTATTTTTAAAGGCATTGCGCAAAGTTTATAACAAAAATAAGACTAAGTGGAATCTAAGTCTCATTGGTTGGGCTGCTTATGCTGTCATTACATCAGTCCTTGCAATATTAAGCACTGGATGCTTCTTTGTCGTTGATAATGACCTACCATTGGATTGCTCACCACACTTCCGTTTGAATAGCACGTACAGGAGATTTGAAACAAAAAACTACAACTTTAGACTAGCATTTCTAGTAACTTCTTGGGTACTCTCAGTCACAATATTAGTCATGGGAGGAATATGTTGGGGAAGATTCCTCAAACTATATGACAAATCACAAGAAAGTTATAAATTAGAAAATCCGACAAACCACCTTAAAGATCGGACAAACCACCTTAAAGATCGGACAAACCACCTTGAAGCTGAATTTACTTGAACCCTTTTACTACATTTACATGTACATTAAGTGTAAAAAACTATTCTTTGAACAGTTTGGTAGTTACATTTAGTTGATTGATTTCATTTTTGTGTTAAATAAATAATTTAGAATATAATTATTAACTCTAATCTCCTCCAGCCATTACTTCAAACTGTTCTGATAAAACAATAAAGAACAACTGCCAGTCCTATCATAAAGAAGCCACTACCAGTATCAATTATAGTGGTTGACATAAAAGTAGTAGAGGCTGGGAAAGTGGTTGGGATTAGATAAAGCAGGCAGTCTTTGTGGAGTGTCACAAGACTCTGGTAGGTTTTCCTTTACTCCCCAAGCTACTACTGTGGTAAAGGGACGGAATAGTTAGAGATAACTAACTATAATTTGCTCTTAATAGACTTGCTTACAGGGGCTAATAGCAATAGTCAAAATGGGCAAAGGAAAGGATAAAAAGGTAATGAAAATAAAAGCATTCTTATAATGGATGTCATCTACTTATTATTAGGGATTCTATCAGGTAGCAGGGTCTGCTAGATCAGAAGCAGCAAAAGCTCTGATAGTCCCTTTTGATATCCTCTACTCCATCATTGCTACTGGAGCAATGCTAAATGGAAAAGATTTTAGCAGAGAAAACCAGAGTGCTACACTAACATGCTTGGGGCTAATATATGCAGTGACCAGTGTTGAAACAAACAATGAAGCAAATAATGGAGCAAATAATGGAGTGAATAATGGAGCAATAATTCCAACTACTTGTATAAATGGACCATGCAAAAGGATAATAATAGAAGGAGGTACAACATGGAGCAACAACCAAAGAACAATCTGTGGGACAAAAATAACAATAACCGGAGGAAAACAAGGAAATAAAAGAGGAGGAACAAGAATTATTGAAGAAGGAAATATTACTACACAAGGTGGAGAACTAATCTTTAACAATGGAAAAGTAAGTAATAAAGAAGGAAGGTTTTTCAACATAGGAGGAGAGGAAATACTTTACCAAGAACCTAATGAAGACAATGAAGAACCTACTGATGAAGAATGACGATGAAGAACTTGGTGATGAAGAACCTGGCGATGTATATATTGAAATAAAAGGAGGAATAACAACCATCACTGGAGGAACAACAACTTTCATTGCAGACAGTGCAACAGTTATGGGGGGAGAAGTAATGCCACAAAATAATCCTAATCAAAATGAAGAGTATGAAGGAACATCTTTGGAAAAAGACCCCAGGCTTATAAAGAAAGAAATTATTAAAGTAGCAGTGGCCAATTGGTTTTGTATTGGATTGTTTTTGATTGCTGATAATAGTCAACCTTTTGAGTGTGTGGTTGAAGAAAACACCAATTTCAACTATGCATTACGAATAATCTCTTTATTCATTTCTTTAATTCTATATTGTTTATCAATCTTGAAAGTAACTCAACTTTGGTACCAATCTCGTGATCCTACTCCAGTAGACTGTGATCCTACTTCAGTAGACCACGATCCTAGTCCAATAGACCATGATCCGACAATAGACCATGATCCTACTCCAATAGACCATGAGCCTAGTCCAGTAGACCATGATCCTACTCCAATAGACCGTGACACTACTACAGGAGGCACGGCTCATACTCACACTCTTCCAAGAGACCAAACATCACCTGAGTCTCGCCGTACTTCAGTAGTCGTTTGAAGAAATACCATCGTATTCACACTTTACGTATATGAGTAAAATTTAACAATTTAGCTAAAACTAATAGTATTCCTTATAATAGTATTTATACCATTAGTTAATTATTTAAAAAGGTGTGACACACTAACAATTAATGACAATTAACAGTTGTAATAATTAATTATGAGTTTTAATAAATAACACTTGATTTAAAACAACTAGATATAGCAAATTTTTTTGCCAAGTCGTATCCTTGCGAGCAATTTAAATCCTTGCAAAATTAATTATGCAAGTAGTGCCAAGTACTTGGAAAATTTTCTCTAAAATTTTTTATGGAAGCAGCTTGCAACACAAATATTTAAGTGAGGAATTCTCACCTACTTGCTAATATTCAAATGTTACAATAAAATTCCTAGAACTACATGTACAAGTATCAAAATTAATATAATCCATGAATTATGAATATTAAGTACAAATGATAATGTTGTGACATAGGCCATTATCAGTATAGACCAACCATCACTGTGATACAACCCTCAGACACTAAGCAACAGATTACTAAACCCACCATACACTAGGTAACATACCGGTATTATAGCACAAAAAGTGACTAGAATTAACATTTTCATAAATATAACCAAGTGTACCTATCTATATATAGGGCACAACATACGTATTATATGTACATGTACATATTTAGCATTACTTTTAGCATTTAGTATTAGTGCTAATTATACATAGTTTTAAAAACTTTTCAGATGTTTATTTTGATGATTTTATGGAAATACCAAGTCACTTTCATTTAAGAGATCATATACTCTTCACTAATAACAATAATAACTAGGTAAATGTAAAACATTAAGGGGCGAGCAAAACGATTAACATTTTGATTAACAATATACAATGTCTATATAGACAATGATGTAGTAGCTATTAAATGTTGATGTCAATACACTAATGCAGAATTTGCATGGAAGGAATTTTTTTATAGCTTGTTCTAGCTTTATGAGTTTAGAATCTCTGCAATTATATGATCTCACTGCTAGTTTAGGCTGGCAATCTTCTTTCTGATGAGCCATGGATTTAAGCTTTTATTCTGAGATTCAAGAAGATCTTATAGCTGCTTTCTTAACTTTCTTGCTTCTTGAGAAGTGTCTGGATAACAAATGAGTCTTATCTTGCTGCAAATAAGCTCAAGACTTGCTCCCGTTTCATAGCCTTCCTGGTCACCATTTTTATTTCATTGCAACCATACCCACATTAATGAAAATGTGCTAGTCTAAGCATGGTGGTGTATGTGTATACATACATGGGCGTGACCAGAAGATGGGCGTGACTGGAGACGCACATACATACAGAGGGAGTGAGTGAGTTCTTGCTAGAGTGGGGCTCGCTTTTGCTCGCCCCAATCAAAAGATTCCACCCACTATAAGCTTATGATTCCTAGAACTGTGAATATCAATGCATTTCTTATATGAGGTAGGAGCTCACTGGTATGATGAATGAGTGCTGTGATAAAAATGTTACCTGATATTGTTCTTAGTACAGTTGTTATGGCAACATTAAGGAATGTTCCCAATGGTTAGAGTAGGGGTACACTCAAATAGTCTTGACTATAAAAGGGGTTGAATCATTAGACTGATAGGGAACAATCATAGTCGCTGCAGCTAATAATTATATTGAAGTAATATTCAAAATGAGCCAAGCAAAGGATCAAAAGGTAAAGCTGCTATGTATAATGATTCTCATTTAAAAGTTCTATATTTGCTACATTAGGAATTTCACATACTAGCAGAATCAGCTAGATCAGAAGCAACAAAAGCTCTAATAGTTCCCTTTGATATCCTGTACTCAATTATTGCAATTGGTGTAATGCGGAATGGAAGAGATTTTAGTACAAAAGATCAAGATATAACATTAGGTTGCTTAGGAGCAGCATATGGAGTAATTAGCCTTGTTTTCTGTCTAATCAACAGTCAAGCATACTTACGTAATGCTTTTAAAAATGAAGATTGTTGGACACGATGTAAAAAAATAGTTATTTTCATATTAGACTTTATTGTTGTGGTCGCTACTAACATCATATACCTTGTGGGAGATAGCAAAGCAGAGGTCAGCACTGACAGTGCAGCGGAGGAAAGAGATCTGACCATACAAGGTCTTCTTTTTCTCATTCCTGCAATACTATCCTTTCAAGTTTGGAAGCCATTAAAAACATTGCTTGAAACCATTTTTAAATTTTGTAAAAAGGAAGATGATTCAGAAGAAGATAAGTTAGAATTAGATTATTACAAAGCAATTCTCTATGCAACAGTGATGACACTCAGTACTGTCCCAGAGATTGATGCTACATATACCACATTATCGAGCTTTGTTAGACTCACAAAAGATAATTGCCGTCCAAGGAAATACAACATCCTTTGGGTAATGTATAGTGCAATTATATTCAATATTATAGTGAAATGTATAAGTGTATTTTTAAAGGCATTGCGCAAAGTTTACAACAAAAATAAGACTAAGTGGAATCTAAGTCTCATTGGTTGGGCTGCTTATGCTGTCATTACATCAGTCCTTGCAATATTAAGCACTGGATGCTTCTTTGTTGTTGATAATGACCTACCATTGGATTGCTCACCACACTTCCGCTTGAATAGCACGTACAGGGGACTTAAAACAAAAAACTACAACTTCAGAATAGCATTTCTAGTAACTTCTTGGGTGCTTTCAGTCGCAATATTAGTCATGGGAGGAATATGTTGGGGAAGATTCCTCAGAATATATGACAACAAATCACAAGAAAGTTATAAATTAGAAGATCTGACAAACCACCTTAAAGATCCGACAAACCACCTTAAAGATTCGACAAACCACCTTAAAGATCCGACAAACCACCTTGAAGCTCAGACAAACCAACATGAATCTGTACTTTAACATTCTTTGAACAGTTTGGTAGTTACATTTAGTTGATTGATTTCATTTTTGTGTTAAATAAATAATTTAGAATATAATTATTAACTCTAATCTCCTCCAGCCATTACTTCAAACTGTTCTGATAAAACAATAAAGAACATCTGCCAGTCCTATCATAAAGAAGCCACTACCAGTATCAATTATAGTGGTTGACATAAAAGTAGTAGAGGCTGGGAAAGTGGTTGGGATTAGATAAAGTAGGCAGTCTTTGTGGAGTGTCACAAGACTCTGGTGTTGTTGCTTTACTCCTAAGTCAGTGTAGCTACTACTGTGGTAAAGGGATGGAATAGTTAGAGATAACTAACTATAA